GGCAAAGAGGACCGGTAGGGAAGGCTCAACAAACAGTCTTCGCCTTTGTTCCTTCAGCATCTGCTTGGCATGCAGAAGTTCCCAGGTTCGATCCCCAGCATCTTCAGTGAAAAGGACCAGGCAGATGGTGATATGAAAGACCTCTGCCTGAGACCCTGGGGAGCTGCTGCCAGTCTGAGTAGACAATACTGACCAAGATGGACCAGTGGTCTGATTCAGTATAAGGCAGCTTTGTGTGTTCATGTGTTCCTCTTGCTAGCCAAAGGAATTTCCCTCCACATCAGGCTGGGATGTTTGCATGCAGAAACCTGCTTAAATAATTTTGGGTGTGCTTTGCCAGCATGCCTTCATGGCTAGCTGGCTATCTTGAGTGGATTTCCCCCCTCTCTTCCCCTTGGAGCGTGTGGCCTGGCTCGCTTGCATGAATCATCTGGAAGTACTGCTCGGTATAATGCCTCTTGCAGGATGCTTGCTCTCTGGAGTACTTGGAAATTATTTCCTTGGCCCAGCCCAGTGAATAAGACAGCTCAGAGAGGCAAAGTTCCTCTTTCGCCTGTTGATGAGCAGGCACAGACAATGATCTTCTATTTTGGGAGGGATTTCAGTTCTCCAATGTATTTTTTTTTTTTAATTTCTCAGATTTTTCTGCAAGCCTGGAGGGTCCCCCAAGTTTGCAGAGCTGTCTGTTTACAGTCACTCTTATCCCGATCCACAGATTTAGACATCCATAGACTGGGCTACACTTGACAATTAGAATATAAGAATCAGCTGCAGCGAGCCAGCTAGCAGGATCTTCCCCATTTCCTCCCCCACCAGAAACAATACATATCAACAAGGCATAAAGCTGTTTGACAACATGATCACACTTCAGATATTCACTGTGGTTCTTGTAAATCTCTCGCTCCTTCCACAGAGGGGCAATTGTATTCTCGCTGCTTCTGTAAAATGTAGAGGTACCCACTCAGGTAGATTCTCGGTTCTTTATTCCATTTCCTCTTGTGGATATACCCCTGCAGCCCAAGTGTTTTTTGCTGGCATAATAATGCAGTAGTGATGTAACTACTGCTGATTTTTTAAAAAATAAATGACTGGGGGCGTGTTTCTTGCAGAATAATTTCCTTCCCACCTAAATCTCTTAAAAATCAAGCATGTTCTTACAGATCCAGGACAAAAATCTTGCACAGTGGATTACACTGGCTTTTACTGCCCCCTCTTTCACACAGGCTCCTCTTGTGAGTGAAGGCACTAAGCCAGACATTGCATCTACAGCTGTCAGAGAATCAGGAGGGCAAGGTTCAAGCCAGAGCTGGAGCTGGGAAAATGCTGGGGAAAGAATCCTAGAAATGCACAGTTCCTGCTAGGATAGTGCCGAGTTCTTCTGCGTTGTGCCGGGCAAGCTCCTGACAGGTGGAAAACTTTTCCAAGCTCCACATAAACAGGGAAAGAATGGGAGCAGTGAGGCTAAGCCAGACTTTACATGCCAATAAAGGTAACTGGACTGGACTAAGTGGGCTAAGCCAGACTGTGCTGGAGTATGAAGCGGAAGTCAGAGAGGCCACATGTCATGAACACCCCGGTGCCTCTTCCGGGTGGAACTACCCTGAGGCTCAGAGCCAACATCATGCAGTCGAGCTTCCAGAGAATATTGTCAGCCCAGGTGCACAGGCGGTTCAAAGGCGGAAGCATCAGTGGAGGCTCATGCACTTCGGGATCAGAGTCCAGCAAGAGCTGATAGCTAGGCACAAGACTGCAGGTTGATTTGTGACCATCTCATGACTGTGTGTGTGTCTTGGTGTGGCTGATAGGGGCCAGCCTCCAGGTGGGGCCTGGAAATTTCCCAGAATTACAATAGATCTCCATACTACAAGGATCCGTTTCCCTGGAGGAAAATGATTTCTTTGGAGGGTGGACTCTGTGGTAGTATACCTTGCTGAAGTCCCTCCGCAGGCTCCACCCCCAAATCTCCAGGAATTTCACAACCTAGAGCTGGCCATCCAATGTGGCATCAGAGGTAGCCGCAAGTGGAAGTGAAAAGAAGGCAAAGAGGACCGGTAGGGAAGGCTCAACAAACAGTCTTCGCCTTTGTTCCTTCAGCATCTGCTTGGCATGCAGAAGTTCCCAGGTTCGATCCCCAGCATCTTCAGTGAAAAGGACCAGGCAGATGGTGATATGAAAGACCTCTGCCTGAGACCCTGGGGAGCTGCTGCCAGTCTGAGTAGACAATACTGACCAAGATGGACCAGTGGTCTGATTCAGTATAAGGCAGCTTTGTGTGTTCATGTGTTCCTCTTGCTAGCCAAAGGAATTTCCCTCCACATCAGGCTGGGATGTTTGCATGCAGAAACCTGCTTAAATAATTTTGGGTGTGCTTTGCCAGCATGCCTTCATGGCTAGCTGGCTATCTTGAGTGGATTTCCCCCCTCTCTTCCCCTTGGAGCGTGTGGCCTGGCTCGCTTGCATGAATCATCTGGAAGTACTGCTCAGTATAATGCCTCTTGCAGGATGCTTGCTCTCTGGAGTACTTGGAAATTATTTCCTTGGCCCAGCCCAGTGAATAAGACAGCTCAGAGGGCCATTCCTCTTGCCCTACCCAAGGTTCATTTTAGCAACAAATTCAGGGGTGGATGAGCCAACCCTGCAGCCAGTGAAAAAGAGCCTTAAAGAAGTAGAAATGTTGCGTTCAGCGGTCTTCTTGCGCCTCTTGATTTAATGCAACATGTTTAACATTTCCTGCTCAAAAGGCAACTTAAGTGTTTTAGGTGAACGTCATTTTGCATTTGTTTCTTTAAGTGGTTAATCGACAGTCCCAAACAAGCCAGAATGCCACAGTATCATAATTTGGCAGCTGTGAAGTGCCTTTTAGGGGAAACTGACATCCCATGTCCCAGAACTCAGGCTGCCCAGAGGAGCACTTGTGTGTCTAGTTCTCCATATTTTAATGGCTGTTGTCTTCATATGAAGAAATTATCTTGATACACATGCTATAGTTAGAAAGCCGATAAAAATCAACACACGCTCTTCAAATGACAAAGAGATGGTGTATTTACAATAAAGTACCCCCCAAAGTGGGCTTTTGAACCCTGCTGAAAATCTTTTCCTCTGACGTTGAACTGAAAGAGTGCTCCCAGTAGTCCTAAAGAGATTGGCACAAGTGAATGGATGGTACACTTCTAAGCAAACGTTCAGAACAAGAGGAAGAAAAGAACACATTTATAAATGCAAGCACAAATAGGCAAAAAGCTTCAGATGTGGGTGGGCCGATGTGGTTTAATTATTAGTGTTGGACAGAGACGGGGTCCCCCCCCCCTTGTTGAGCCTGTTGGGTGTTTTGGGATTTTAAAGAAGAGTACCAGGCAAATGACTGTCATGGAAGGAAGGAGCAATCATAAAATGGCTGCTGAGGGGGAACATGGCCAATTGTACAATGGCTATCGTGTGGCAGGGTCTGCTGTTTTCTTTGAGGCAGAGATACGGTTTGGTTTCAGGTTGGGGGGGGGGCACTCAAGGACAAATCACCAAGCCCTGAGATGCAAGAAGGTCTGTATCCACAGTCAAGCCTGAGTGTCTGTGACTCTGATGTGCCTGTCTAGGATGAGATCGGTGCTTTTCTAGTCAGTCAGCTGATAGGCCAAAGTGCCCATGGGGATCTCTGGACTAGGTTTTTTGATTCCCAGCTGTGGTTAGAGTGGTCTGGAAGACCCAAGTTTGAATCCTTACCCTGTCTTGGAAACTTGCTGGGTGAGCTTGGGCCAGTCACACACTCTGACCTACCTCACAGGGTAGTTATGAGGTTAAAATAAGAGGAGCGGAGAGCCAAGCTGCATTGGGTCCCCACTGAGGGGAAAACATTAAAAACTAAGTTTTAAAGTTCTCAGTCTGTCATGAAGCTAGCTGAGTGACCTTGGGCTAGTCACCCTGTCTTGGTCTGTCCTGATTAACAGGTGGTTGTGAGGATAAAATGGGGAAGGGAGAGCCATGTATGTACCTTGTCCTGAGCTTCTTGGAGGAAAGTTGGGATAAAAATGTTATAAAGGCGTTGTGGTCTGCTGCTGAATTTTTAATGGAAACCTGCCTTTATGAATGAGGAGTGTGCTCTGGTGGATCTTGCTGTGCGATGGAGTAGAGGGCGGAGAGGAAAATTGTCTGGTGAGCTCAGCTGAAAGGGAAGTCGCCTCTTCAGGTTAGACCCCTTTCCTGCATTTCTCTCCAGAGCTGAAAAGATGCCTCAGCCGGCAATTGCAAGAACAGGTGTGGAGCTATTAAAGCGGCAATGAGCTCATGGCCTGGCAGATGGCCGGCTTCCTTTCAGCCTCACACGACTTTAAACTGTGTTCCCATTGGGTCTCCGGTACAGGGCTGGTGGGGAGGGAAATGAATGCGGGTGAAGTTGTGTGGGGTGTGTGTGTGAATTGTCATTGGCCTCCAGAGAGTCAAGTAGAATTATGGGCTTTGAGTTTCCGAACAAAACAGGCTTCCAAAGATTTGCTGTAATAAAAGCTTCTTGAGCTCTGAAAGTGTGCCAGGAGTTGGGGGGGGGGGAGAGGGGGAGCTTTACCAGACTTTGTAGCGTGTCTTCCCCTGGAGCTGTGCTTTGCCAACGACTCCGGCAGAGCTGTCTGCCACGTCCCTTGAAGGTTGCCTTGCCAAAATGTCCTTTGCTCACGCACTACTCATTTCTGCTGGGTGCTTTTGGGGGCTTTGCAGGTGCCCCCCTCCCGTGTCCCGGTCTCGTTCCCTGCTGATCAGAATGACAATATGTTTTATTTTTATAGCACTCCCCCACTGTCATCTGATGCCTGGCTCATGTTTATGTAAGAATAATGCAGCAACATACAATAAAACCCACCTCGTTGTGGGTTTTTTTAAGGGCGGAAGGGTAAAAAATAGACGGATGGACAAGATCCACTAACATAAATGGAGGGATGGTTCTCTAAATACATCTGGAAGACAGGAGGGACTGATTTTTTTAATTAAATGAGCCCTCGCCTTTTGCACCCTGGATGGCCCAGGCAAGCCCGATCTTAATCAGATCTCAGAAGCTAAGCAGAGTTGGTTCTGGTTAGTCCTTGGATGGGAGACCCCCAAGGAATACAAGGGGCATGATGCAGAGGCAGGCAATGGCAAACCACCTCTGAAATGTCTCTTGCCTTAAAAAACAAGTCTAGCTCGCCACCTGGTGGTGCATGCCGCTAAAACAGCTAGAACTTCTGGCTGTCAGACAATCTTAGGAACTCCTGGCTGTACTACACACACTGCCATATGATAATTAATTCTTGGAGGGAGTGAATTCTCCACTAGAGGCACAAAAAAGTGCAGTGGGATGCTAGCTGGCCAGACTGCCCCCCCACCGATGCAGCTGATGTCTGTATGCAAGCTGCTAGCTTACAGCATTCAGCAGAATTTGTGTTAACAGCAAACCTTTATGGAGGAAACCAGTTTTACAAGGCTACGAGAAGCAGAGAGCAAGCCGGGGGGGTGTGTTGGTGGTGGATCTCAGCACCCCTTCTCACTTGACCCTTCTGCAGGAACTGGGTGTCAGTCTCCTATATTTCAAAAACTTCTATGTTTCTGTTTCTCTTTTGAAAAGTAAGACAAAACTCCTGTGCTGTCTTCTCTGCAGGATTTGGGAATGGAGTCCACTTCGCTGGACGATGTTCTGTACCGCTATGCCAGCTTCAGGAACCTGGTAGATCCCATCACGCACGACCTAATCATCAGCCTCGCCAGATACATTCATTGCCCCAAACCAGTAAGTTTTCACATTCATGCCTGTCAAAGGGAGAAGTGGGAAGCCAAAGTGTGTTGGTTAAGGCTGCTTCAGTGTGTTCCTTCTCTGTGTCATTGGATGCCTGGTGCGAGCCGGGGATGAATTCCCCCCACCTTCTGTGTTGTTCATAATTCACTGAATTCCTGATGCTGGACATGTTTTTCCAACCCCCTTCTTCGCAAAAAAACAATCTCTGTGCTTTGACAGACCATATGTAGATGGTGGAAGAGAGAGCTGTGTATATGTTGATCACAGAACTTGATGCATCTTCTGATGGGACAGGACCAAGTTGTGGCTAGTCAAGAAAGAAATCTTGGAGTTGTGATGGTGAAAAGGTCAGCCCATTGTGGTGTGACAGTAAGAAAACCAAATTCCTGTCTCATTCTTGCAGCCAAATGAAAATACTCCAAGTTTGATTTTAAAGCCTCATGTTCTTCCTTTACGGCCTATCTATCCAAGGACGTCCTGTCATTGCCACTGAACTAAACGAAATAAGCTGCATCCACACATTGATAGCTGGATATTGCACTATAGCAGTGAATGATCACTATAATGCAATGATAGTGCAGTATCCAATATGACCCAGTATGTGGATATGGCTGTGGTTTAATATTTGGGAGATGCAAATCCCCATGCTTTTTTTTTTTTAATTATATATTATTTTGGCAGAGATTCTCACTGGTTTTTCCAGCCCAGAGATTATCATCTGCCAAGTCTCAAGTGTTGCAGCTTTAGCTTCCAAAGATGGATTTATAAACAGAAATAATAGCTTTGGGAAGATAGTCTAAATTCCTAAATGTCTTTTTTGGCTTCAGTCTCCAACGGTTTCCATTCACATTACAGGTTTATATGCATTCTACGTATTTAACACCCATCCATTCAGATTTATTGATATTAAGTCCTATATCTTGCTATTTGTGAAAAGGTTTCCAAAAGCTGGTAACAGCAGTGATGGATATTGGCCAAAGTGATTTTATTTATTTTTAGGCATTTCTAATTCTGTTTTTCTCCTGTATGAAAGTACAGTTTAAATAAACAATTTAAATGAACAGAATAAAATTTTAAGTAAACAAACAAAGCAACGAAGAATATTTTGAACCACATCCCAGAAAGCTCTGGCTTCCCTGGGCTGTTTCAAACAAGGCCACATGCTGTAAGCCAAGAGCCCTTTGGCTCTGTCTCTTTGGCTCATACCTTTGGCCCTGCCCAGCTTAAACACCTGCAAGCAGAGGAGAAACAAATTCAGCCGAGATCTTATTCAGCTGCTGCTAGCAAGATGTTAGGGCTATATTGTCTGCACTAGAAATAAGGCCCGTTGTGGAAATAAATACAACGGGATCTAGAAAGAGGCTCTGGGAGAGTGCTCTGGCTTTGGGCAAACAGTGTCAGTCTGCTTTTAAAACATGAACCTGGGACCTGCACACCACCAGAATACAGCAGATTCCATATGCAACTGACATTCCAACTGCCTTGCGGGGCGGGGAGTTTGAGGTGTGGAATGGAGTGAAGTCCAATCAGCTTCCATATGCAAAAGACCAGGTTGTCGCAGCAGTTGTGGTGTGGGCGGGACCCGGGCTTTGCCTTCTGATTGGTGGAGATATATGCTGAGGAACAGTGCCATCAGCCATACACTAAGGGAGTGCATTTTAGAATTAGAACTTTGGCACCCACTACTCAATTATATATAAGGAGGGATTGTCTGCTGTGAATCTTGAAACAGAAATACATTCTGTAAGAGTGAAAGCAAAGCTCTCTCTGAGTAATCCAAAGAGTAATTGTAAAAGTGGAAATCCTTGATGCCTCACCTAGATGGGAAACACAGACAAGTACCCATTAACCAGAACATTAATAATAGGCATATAGCACATTGAAGAACCTCATTCTTTAAATGTACTACCCATGTTAATGGTCTAAAACTGACTGTAAATACAACCACTCAACATGATTAAATACCTTTTCTGCATCCAAGCACATTTGTCATTGAGATTATTTGCCAATGTAATTATGTCCAACAGTTTTATAATATTAGTTGCTATTTTACCATCTCTGATGAGCCCTGGTCATGGTCAACGTGATTAAAAATCAGTTCTTTTAATCTGTTTGCAGTCATTTTTGTTAAGATCTTAAAATCTTGATTCAATGAAGATACGGGTCAGAAAGACTAAACACATGATAGAACTTTCCCTGTTTTAGGCATCTCTTTGCTTCTTTCTCAAATCTAGGCAGCTTTTTAGTTGATGAGATTTCCATTAAGATATTTGTCAACGTTCCAAGATTTTATCTGAGAAGTTCTTAATAATTACAAGGAAATTAACCTAAACTTTAATCATTGGTAAGTGGCAGCATATTAAATGCTAATTCATCTCATACATTTCCAATCCAAAGGTAACCAAATGTATAGCATAACCAGGGCTCTAGTCGGGGGGGAGCTCTCAGGTACGGAGCTCCGGAAGAGAACCTCTAGGGGGCGGGGCGGTCACGTGGTGAAGCCCCGCCCCCTTCTTTACCCCGCCCTCTGCTTCGATCCTCATTCTGTTTGGGAATGAGGATGAAGCAGGAGGGTAAGTAGCCGGGCCTTCTGACACACTTCCGGTGATGTCAGGGGGTGTGGCCTTCTGTCACTTCCGGTGATGTCAGGGGGCATGGCATATACAAATAAGTTATGCTAATGAGTTATGCTAATGAGCTCCGGCAGCTCTTTTTTTACAACAAGACCCCTGAGCATAACATATTAGTAATAAGGTGGTTTTGTAGTCCCTGAAATGATATTTCAAAGAGAGGATTAAACTGTGATTAGTTATCGAAAGAACAGGAAAAAAAGTCAAGAATTGAAGTGATAGTAGGGTAGTTGAGACAATAAATTTCAAGAAGGATTGTTACTAATTGACGCAAGTGATATGTTTATGAGCAGTCATTGACATAAGAAATCAGACTTGTAAAGTGCTGGATGCTTTATCTGACTTCCTAGTTATCAAACAGTACAAAGTCCGGTCAGGGTGGATGTGCTGCTGTAGAAAACAATCTTAAGCTGGTCTAGTTAGAAGTAAGTCCCATTTTATTCAACAGGGCTTACTCTCAGGGAAGTATACTTAGGGTTGCAGCTGAAGTGCAATATCCAATCCTAATTCTGACCTCAACAAAGTTAATGCCAACTAATTTAGATATATTTCCCCACTGAGAACTGAGTGCTACAACCAAAATTCAGCTCACCCAACCAGAGGGACTAACATAGGGGTTAGCAAAAAGAGAAAATGTCTTCTTTTTCCATGTTATCCAACAGGACTCCTTAATGAAGCATAAAACAATTAATTAGCAGTCATCTCCCAAGGAATGTCATTGATCTTAAGACGTATCCGTTCATTAGTTCAATGAGCAGAGAAATGCCATAGAAGGTTCTTCAGAAAACACAGAAAGGGATGATTCACCACCATTGTCTGTTCCACCTCCCGTTAGGTATATCTCAGCAGAATTCGAGCAAACACAGTCTGTCAAAGTCAACTGACTGTGGTTACTCAGCAGTGTTGAAAAGGTGTTCAGCACATGCTCTGAGATATTGCCAGCTTCAACCAGATAATGCTAATGATGTGAGTGACATGAGCCCTGGTATCAAAATGTTATTTCCAGAGTGGTGCCTGTCTCTGTCTCTCTCTGTCTCTCTCTGTCTCTCTCTCTCATATATATGTGTGTGTGGCCAGTTTTGTAGACAAACCCTTGAACTGGGCTGTAAGAGCAATAAGGCAGTATCACTATAACAGGGAATTTCAGATAAGCTTACTTGGGGGGTGACCTTGTGCCAGCTGCTGTCTTTCTCACACCCACACATTAACACTATTCCCTGTGGCTTTCAGAGTTCCTGGTCGTAGATCTACCCAAGCATCTCCGCACATGTAGGTGATTGGCACCTCGATTGCCTGCATTCCTGTGCCTCTGAGCACAGGGAAGAGTAGACTGGGACAGGCTGTCTTGCAGAGCCAGCCACTGGCTTAGGGTGCATCTCCAGTGGCGTTTGTTTACACATTGGCTTGGTATTGCTGGTCTCCTTGCTGGCCTTTGTGGTTGCTGCACTGATGCCTGCGTACTCCTGGGCAACACTCCTGGGCAATTCTGCGCCAGATTTTATTGTGGGACAGATTCTCAGGTACGCCAGTACAGGTTCTGGCGTGGATGCTTGTGACATCCAAACTGTTTGTTCATGGTATGAGCCGTGCTGACCAAGAAGGGGGGGGGGGAAGCCATGAGCGCTGCTTGGCAGGGAAAGGAGCAGGATAAAAATCGAATGAATAAATAAAATATGCTGGTGGAGACTGGCTCTTGCCTGACGCTTGGTCCGCTGGCAAAAATGAACAAGTTGTTTCTTTTTGTCCAGTGGTGAGCTCTGTTACTGACCGGGAGTGCCGTAGCGGACTGAAGTTTTTCAAGAGTAATTGCCATTTAAGTTCAGTTCATTTAATAGCATAATTTACCAGACAGATAGGAAGCATATTGATCTTTACCCTCTTGGGCGAATCTTGCAGCTGCTATGTTTGACAAGTGGCAATGGAAACCTTTTTGTTATTTCAGAAAAAGCCCATGCCTATATAAAGGGAGAATTAGGTAGCTGGTGAGTGGAGTACAGACTCTGGATATTGTCATTCTGCTTCCACTCCTGTGGTGAGCAAGCAAGCAGCCAGTGATTGAAGAGTAAATCGAATTTGGATGAGAAGACAATGTTTAATGATCTGGCTGCAGCAGAGGGAAAAAGACAAGCGTGAGGGAGAGCACATGGAGGAGCATGTGTACACCGCTAGGTGTGAGGGTACATTTGCAGGTACAAACTGAACTAACTGCTTGGCTAAATGAGCTGCATCCACACATTGCACTGTAGCAATGGTTTGCAACTATATTGTCTTCTTCACGTAGGAAAACCCAGTTATTGGATGATGACTGCAGTGCAATTATAGTGCAATCACCTCTTAGTAACAAAATGGACTGCTGTGTGTGCT